ATCTTGTGTGCTTTTCTTACAATGTCGGTTGAATAACACATGAAGACATTGCTCAGCAGCACCTTCACAGAAGCATCCACTTCTACTGTTGATTCTCTCTAAGGCAGTCTTGCCTGACACACAATAGTTTGGGACTGTGACCCCACTGAGTTTTCACAAGGAACACCAGTTAAAGAACTCACATAAGGCACCGCTGGGATTTGAACCCAGGCACTTTAACCAACTAAGCACGGCGCCAGTTTCTGCCACAAAACCAGTGACACACAAACAAAACGACTCATTTTCGGATCTAGGATGAGATGGGGAGCAAAAAAAACAAGCACATTTGAGGCCTGTGGAAACACAAGGCAAAACATGGCTTGAGCTTCAAGGGTCTAAGGGAGGTGAAATTGGACAAGGAAGAACCATCCAGTACCTCATCAAGATTGATAGATAATGCCTAAAGTTTGTACTTCAAAGGAAAATATTTGGAGGGTCCCTGGGTGGGCTTGAACAACTATCCTCTTGGATAACAGCCAAGCACACTGGCCGAAACATGTTTTGGGATTGCAGTCAAAATATCTTGTGTTCTGTTCTTTGGTTTGTACAGAATTTTAAAGAACTTAAGCAGGCACCACTGAGATTTGAACCTAGGATCTCCTGTTTACCAGACAGGCACTTTAACCAACTAAGCCACAAACAAAACCGACTCATTTTCGGGATCTAGGATGAGATGGGGAGCAGAAAAACACTTGCTGCCCAAAACAACCTCCTGGGACAGTTCTTTATTGCCAGGGTTGAGGTCTTTTTCATAACATGTGGATTCTTCCTCATCAGGCAAGTTCACTACCCATCATTCGCTTTGTGTGACTGTGTCTTCAGTCAGTTGCACAGGTACTCTGCCACCACTCACAGTACCTGTGAGTGGTGGCAGAGGGCGCTGATGGTCTGAGCAGATCTCTTCCTAGTTTAAAGGATTGTGTGTCTCTGGTTTATCTGAGTCCTGTGGACTCTCAGCAGGATTTAGTGTGCTGCAGCTGTTCTCTCTGTTGACACCCGAGCCGGCCAGCTGAGACTCTTGCAAAACCCCCGAAACACAGAGACCGAAATGGATCAGCAGAGAAAATCAACCACCTCTCTGCTCACACTCATACATGTCCCCACTGCTTTATTTAATCAGTTTATTATGATAAAATATTAATCAGCACTGACATCTAACAGCATCATTGTGAATGTAACAGCATTAAGACAAAAAGACAAATAAAATACTGTAAACAAGTTATAAAACCATAATTTAAATATTAATCGTATTTTAAAATCTAATCTCATTATTATTGGGATTATTTGTCTCTGGGGTCACAACATAATTATAGAAAAGGAAATTATATAAACTAGTTGCTTCACAAAACTTTTCTCTTTTAAAATTCTGAGCAGCTTTTCCTCGTGTGGAGATCTTCAGCTCTGTAAACTAAATAATCAAAAATCAAATGTTTTGATTCAATTTCTGATTTACAGTAAACAATAATTATAAAAGCTCAGGACTAAATGAATGAAGTTTGTTCTATTTTATTATATTATTTTAACTGATGTCGAGGTGAGCTAACGTTGCTAATGTTAGCTGCACAGTCATTTGGTTTGGAGATGAAAATATCAACTTAAATACTTTTGTAACTTGGTTTTTCTCAGTGAAGAAAACAAAATGGAGAAACAATTATTGATTCCAAGTGATTCAGAAATATATAAATAAATATAATAAATGTCCAACAGCAGGAACTTATTATAAAAGTGAATGTGAAGCAGAAAGCAGGTGAGAACCAGGGAAGATCCAGGTGAGACCAGGTGAATGATCAGGTGAGACGCAGGTGAGACCAGGTGAGACCAGGTGAGATCAGGTGAGACCAGGTGATCAGTTGATGAGCAGCAGCTGTGGAGGCTGCAGTGTTTGCTCTCTGCTTACAGTCAGTCAGGTAATTATTAATTAATTTATCTTAAATGATCCGTTTACTGTGTATCTGTGTTTGTTTGTTTACAGGCAGCACTGACTGTTGTTTGTTTTAATATTTCAGCATTTGTTTATTTTTTATTGAAACTGTTTTCAGTGCTAACAGCTGTGTTGTTGCTAAGCTAGCAGTTTGTTTGGTTGAGTCAATGTCATTATTAATTAATTAATATTAACATCAACATGCTGTCAGGATTAATTAATTAATATTAACTGCATGTTGATGTCACAGAACAGTAAATATAATTCAGGTTACAGAGAGTTGTGGAGGATTTCTTTAAATCAGGTTCTAACTACAGATTTTAAACATTGGTTTATTTATTAGACTTAATGATCCTCTTCACTTTATCTCCCTCTCTCCCCCTCTCACCCCCTATCTCCTCTCTCCTCCTCTCTCCCCCTCTCTCCTCTCACCCCCTCTCTCCTCCTCTCACCCCCTCTCTCCTCCCTCCTCACTCACAGACAGAAATAACCCCCCCGGGGGGACTCAGGGTCCACAGAAAGACAGCGGCCATATTTACAGCACTGACTGCTGATCTGGAGTCTGATTTTAATCTCGCTGGAGACACATGAACATAAAGCCGTTCCTCACTGACTGCTTCAAATTATTATTCACAAAACCACTGACAGTATATATAGCTAAGCTAGCGTCTGTGTTAAGTTATAATGAGATTGAAATATTTAATTATGCTAAGCTAACAGAACAGTTATTTTGTCAAATGTTATGAGCATAATGTTCAAGGTCATTTATTTTGTTATTTTTGGGAAATGTAATTTAAAATCTTTCAAATTGAATCATTATTAAACAGAATTAATCAAGTTTCAGGTCATATCAACCCAGATGTTAGCATGCTAATGTTATCTTTGTCAGTTAGCTACACAACAGTTACAGCTGGAAGTTGGAGGGTTTTCATATTTATAACAACGAATCTCTACATATATCGTTTGTGAGCTGCAACCTTTTATTTATTTTATAAAGTGCTTTAAAAGATACAAAGGCTCTTTATAAGTATCATAATGTGACTAAACTTAGAAATCACTGACATTAGCACAAGGCTAGGTTTTATCTGAACAGCTGTTATTTCAGAACAACGAGGAGAAACAGAAACCTGAAATGACACAGATGATGATCATTCATGACAGGACGCCTTTATCTGGATCCAGTGTTTGGTTTGTCCGTTCTGGGCTACCGTAGAAACATGGAAGTTCAACATGGCGGACTCCACCAGAAGAGGACCCGCTTCCCAATTAAAACGTCTCATTCTAAGGTAACAAAAACAAAACAAGTCTTATTTTCAGCTGATTAAACAATAATGAAAACAAACCTTTTAAAATAATAATATAATCTTATATTACAGTAATCTTACACACTGGAGCTTTAAATGGTTTATTTGAGTCATTATTTTTACTCTTTAAACTCTGTGTAATGCTGTACTTTGGCTGTTGCTGAAGCCGGTTGGAGTCAGTTTTTGTGGCTAGAGGAGGAGAAGGTTGTTTTAGCATTTTTCTTCTTGTTGTTCCAAATACTTTTTATTGAGTTTAAACAAAGAACAGAACAACACACAATATCCTGCGTCCCAAACAGCCATACAGCATGAAAGGAATCTAAAATACAGAAAAATCATTGAATGAGATAATAAATAAATTATAATAATAACAATTAAAGAAAAGATTGAGATAAGAGAGGCGTAAGTTTTCCAGGTCTGCAGGTAAATAATCTGGAAAAGAGACCAAACTTTCTAAAATTGCAGCCTGTAATCTTTCATCCTTAAAAATCTATCTGTACCATCAGGAGAATTTGTGAGCTGATTGTTTACTTTAATTTAAAAGGAGTTTGTCGTGTAATACAGATTCCCTGCAGGGGAGGCCCTAAAGGAAGAACTCCTTCACATTAATTTAACTCAACAATTAATTGTTAAAGCAACTCAGTTGTTTTAAGTGAAGTTAAAGTATTGTATATTCAGTATTTTGATTATTGGTGCTTTAATTCCAACTTGTTCCACTGACTCGTTTTCTTTAAATTGACTTTATATAATTATAAAACTGTCAGCATTATGTTTTTATGTCAGTTTATTATCATCATAAGTTCAAATATGCATCCAAATGATTCTTAATGATCATCCAAACGCTTGATGTTATTCTCATTAAAAAAGTGACTTTATTCATATTAATTCTGTGAACACATTTAAAATAAGTTTGTATAAGTTAAGTTTTGCATATGAATGAAACTTCAATTAACTTCATTTATCTAAGTTACCTTAACAACAAATACTTGAGTTACTCAAATCAAATATCTTTCATGCTTAAATTGTCTGAGTGAATAAACTCAAACTTTACTGTGTAGTTTATTGTCAATATTTAACCCCCTAATGTTTTTACAGTGTAGCTTATGTATTATTAAAGGGACATTTCACCCGTGGAAACATTAATATTTATTGAAAGTGGGTTATATATGTAGTCGAAATGTAACATAAATTTTGAATTTGGTGCCTATTCTGACCGAGAAAACCGACAAAAGGACTTAGGGGCGCATCTCTCTGGTCTTAAACGCACCAACACTCCCCAACAATGCCACGCTCCGCAAGGCCGCTCCACCCTAAACATATCCAAGGACTACACACACGTGAAATGAACATTATTACAGAGATATATCAACAACAACAAAAATAAATCTTAACAATGACAGGTAAGTTCCTCCGGAGCGTCCCTCAACCTTTTCCTTTGGTGCCTCGCAGTAACGGCCAATCTGGAGCTGGATATTTTCTGTCCGGAATAGCCTGCACCACAGACAAAACGGGTAAGACGACAACGATAGCCCGACCCATCTCTCCCACCTTGCAGGACCCATTCAGAAAGGCTGTAGCGATATGTCTTACAAGAACCATGGAAGCACAACAGTTCTTTAGCCGATGCCATGGGTTTTTGTGTTAGCGTTGCCAACCCAAGTAGGTTAGCCAATGCAGCTGCAGCTGTTTGTGCAGTAAGCAAGCTAGTTTCGTTGACACCTGACGTTTACGTATAACGGAAAACTTTGTGAAATCGCTGAACGAAATTGTTGTACATACATGCAACGTTGTTTTATACAAAAGAAAATCCAGAACACACTCACTTACAGTCAGACCGTCCGTGTGTCCTAACGCACAGTGAGAGCACAGGCACCAACGCTGGTGGCGCTCTGGTCGCGACAGGCAGGGTCCTCGCCCGGGCAGAGCTCAGCTGCCTCCTTTCGTCATACTTGCCGGCCATAAAAGGTAGCACCCGACATCTGTCGACGCACACTTTTCCACAAATTTTCCAATATAGATGCAATTACAAACAGTCGAACGTCTGATCGACAGCGCTCCCCGTCTAGCTCCCCAAAACAAAGAATGGCGGTTAATTTTGCTTAGTCCACCCACTGACATCTGTGGAGTCTGTAGTGTGAGTGAAAAAAAAAAAGAGGAGTATTGTTGTAGTCTCACTCCCTCTACAGATACATGAGACTTTCCTGCTTACAAATGAAACGCAAAATTATGATTTTTACCATCATTGGAAAGCAGGAGTGCAACCAACTGAAATCCGATTCTCCCTCTCCCCGGGAAGTGAAGGGAAATGCACGAGCAATCTGAAAAAATATGACTGGGCTTCTAAATGACCAACCTTAATGCAAATGTCCCTTTAAGAAGAGTAAAGCTCCCCTGTAGTTCCTACCCTGCACATAAAGTATTGTTTTATTATTATTTATATTATTTTAACATCATTTGAAAGAGAAATGAAGAGTAAAATTACGTGTTATTTGGTCGCAGATGTTAAGTTCAAGTAAAATAAATAAATCAGAGTAAATCTGGTGGATGTGAAACTGAAGTTCTTCCAAAAGTAAAATTTTCTACTATATAAAAGAAAATTTTAACTGTGTTTTTTAATGTTTCTAACTCTTTTGAATTAAATAAATCCAAATGAATTGAGTCTCTACAGTGTGATTATTGATAACTGTTGCTCTGGTATAATTTTCCTATATTCTATTTTATTTTAATTTTTTTTAAAACCATTTTTTCGTGTTTTTATTGTTTTTTTAGTGTATTAATTTTTTTGCCTTGTACAATTGTTTTTGTGTGTTGTTTCTATTTGTTTATATGAATGGTGCAGTATAAATAAAGTTGAGCTGTTGATTTAATTATTTATTAAGTGGAGTGAAGCTCTCTTCGAGCTGCTGTGGCTGTATTAACAGTATTTAACTTTAATTTAACAGTTTAATCTATTAAATAAACAATAAAAATTATAGATTTGCACATTTATTTTATGTGAAAAATTCTCTTTAAATAAATAGACTATTGTTACAGATTTTTCATGTTATTTTACATTGCAGGCTATTTTTTTTAATAATTGTATTAATATTTTCATTTGTTTAAAAAATACAGAAAAAAATGTGTAAAAAAAACCTGTAAACTTACGTTTTGACCCTGCACATAAAGTGTTATTTTATTATTATTTTTGTAGCTTTAAAACAGTGAAACTTGAATCTTGCTGTAGTTTGATTTGGACGGTTTGGTAGTTCAGCAGATTCCTGGTGGAGGGATGATGGATGATTGACAGCTGACTGTTACCAAACCAACCCTGAAGGAGGGTGAGACAGCCTCAGTGACAGTGAGACAGGTTCAATAAATGAATGAGTGTAAACAGACAGCTTGTTCCAGTGTTATAACAGCAGCCTGTGGAGGGGGGCGGGGGTTGACTGACGGGGACAGCCTCTGCCTCCTTTTGGTCAGCGGATATTTAACGACTCTCTGACTGTCACTTTAACTCTCAAACTTTTACTCTGTAACTTATTGATCCAATCAGACTCTGTGATCAAAGACGATCTCAATCGATCAGAATCAAAGTGAATCAACAGTGACTAACGGGCTGGAGGTTTCATAAATGGCTGCCCTGTCCCATCATGTCCCCGCCCCCCCTTGAGTGTCCCACTGGCCAATAGGGAGCGTCGGTGGTGTGATGATGCAGGTTGTCCCCCCTGGTATAAAGACCTAAACCACCGTCTGGGCCCTCCTGAGCAGTTGGAGCATTCCCAGCCTTGCCTCGGGTGGAGGGATTGCGAGGGGAAGCAAAACTACACGGCGTTTCACTGTGTAGTTTTGTTTTTTTGGGGGGGAATATTTCGAGGCTCGACCGTTCTCATCTTGGATTTTTTTGGAAAAACACTTTCTGGATAAGGAGACTTGTTTGAGTCCCTGGGCTCCGTCCCATCATTCTGAGGCACTCTTGTGGAAACAAGTGAGTAACATCCACCTTGTGTCCCCACATTTACTTTAACTATCAATGTGCCTGTCTGCGCTCACTCATGTGGTTTACGGGGACATATCAGACTGAGAGGATGGACTCTAGTTTTCTGTGTTTGTGTTTTATATTTATTATATAGTTAGTTATATTCTGTGTTTGTGGGTTGAGTTGGAAGCGGCCGCGTGCACTGATCCCAGAATAGCCGCTGATAGCATGAGAGTGGACTGTCAGCTGGGCGGCTGATGGCTTTTTAAGGGAATCAGCAGCGGGGGCTATCACTTGCACCTCCAGCTATGTGCCACATGGTGGCTGTCAATCAAACTGCCCGGGGTCAGGGCAGGGGGGGCGGTGTATTTTTGGCCACTGCCATATCTGTCGCTCAGATTCTGATCTGTAAATATCAGCTGAGTTTGTTCCAACATGCTGAGAGAGTTCTGATTTCTGTTAAAGTTTTGTGTGTATCGGTTGCTGAGCAATAGATTGATCGATCAGGGTGTGATCGGTGTCGGTGGTTGTCAGCTGCAGAGTGAATCTGTGACACCTTGTCTCAAATCAGCTGACAGCACTAAAAAGAAAAAACAGCTGTCCTGACGAGGCGTTCAAAGACCTCCAACATAAATCAGCAAAAACTGCAGTTGATCTTATTGATTATCAGCTTCCTAGAACAACATGAAAGTGAAGAAATATAATATAATGATACATAAACCAAGTTAATTTATAAAAAAATAAGATGCAAGACTTTTGTTAAATTTTCATCTCAAACTTACTTTTATAAACTTTTATTTTGCTATTGAAGTTTTTGTGGTGTTTATGGACGTATTGTCGTACAGTAAATATAAAATATGATTTATGAGTTCAGGGCTGTAAAAATAAACTGCTGTTTTCTGCTGGTTGCATTGTTGTAGATTCATTTAGTTTTAGGAAGAACATGTCAGTAAAAACATTTTTGTAAAACAAAATTTCATTATTCTCACATTTCTGAACGATGTCACTGGCAGACAGAGGATGTTTTGTGAGGTAATAAACAGTAAATATAGTGAATAATTGGTGATTATTAGTTGCTGCTGTTAAAGGACCTCATTGCTGCTTTTTATATTTTCTTATGTAGACATTGTTATTTATTGTTTTATGTTTGAACCAAACTTAAAAGGCTAAATTATTGTGAAACATAAAGGAAACAGAAGCTTCTCTAAATGGATTTTGTGTTTTTTATTTATTTATCGCTGTTATTTGCTTTTTTTTATTGCATGTTTAGATTAATGTGATTGGATCCATCTGTTTCTTATATTGTCTGAATTAGTTTTCTCGGCTTGTGCAGCATCGCTCATCTGATTCATGTTAAAGAAATAGTTTATATCAGGCTCTTCGTCTAATCACAGCTCAGTCACACTGATGACATCACTTACAGTTACTTAGTCACCTTATTTATTTATACGTTGTTTAAAAACAACAAATGAGGACCGACGTTAAAATTTAAAGTTAAACCATCCAAAAAATGTAAGGTTCAGAAGTTATTTATAGTAATAATACTAAAATATTAATACCACAGTAATAACACAGCAGTGTACTGCAGTGTTATTACTGTGGTATTATTACTGTAATAATTCTGCAGTGTTATTACTGCTGATACTGTTAATGTGTTAGTTAATGTCAGAGGGAAACTTCGTCTATCAGTGACATCATTACAAATATTTAACAATGTTTTAAGACTTAATTCACCTTATAAACATATAATACGTTTATTTATTTGTTGTTTATTTGATTTTATTTGGCTGATTTATTCATGAAAAACCTGTTGGAAGAAGTTAATCAAATATTTTCACAAATTTTTCAAGTCACTGTGTCACTGACAGGAAATAAGGCGTTTTTTCAGAATAAAGGTTTACATTTTAGAGATAGAAGGTTTTTACCTGACAGCAGCAGTCAGATAAATAAGATGGAGGAAAACATCCAAATGTGAATTCTGCAGTAAAGTATCTATAATACTGCAGTATAAGCAGTGACTAAAACTAATGATTGTGTGATGATTATTTTCTACATTGAATCATTTCTTTAAAATGTTTGTGAAATATTTTTAATAGATAACTTCAATACATCAATTTAGAGCCAAAGTTACAAAATACAAGTAATAAAACAAGTAAATATTCAAATAAAATACATTTGTCAGAAAACAACAAAAAATATGTAAATTTAACTCTTCAGCTGCTGAAAATGGATTTATATTAAAGTATATTATTTTATACAGTATAGTATATTATATTACATAATATTAAAATTTATATTCAATCAGAAAAGAAGTGTACTAAAAATAAATTCATTTAAATAAAGTAAACAGAGTAAAAAGTTGATCTGAGCATGAATAATTTTCTTTCTGTATTTGTGACAATATTTGGATTTAAAAGTACATGTGGGTGAATTTGTAATTTTTAGATTTCTTTTTTCCTGTTCTTAAATAAATAATATAAATGAGATAAATACAGATAAAGATGTATTGATTCTCTACAGTACAATTATTGACTATTGAAATCAGGGCAGATTATTACTACACTGTTGCTCTGATATTAATTCTCACTATTTGTATTTTTTATTATTAAATTTACTTTTAAGAATTATTTCAAAAGGATTTATTTTTTCACCTGATGTGCAACATTTGAAGTAGCTTCTGTGTTATAATTAGTATCATTACCATTTATAATAAATCAAATATTATAAAAAACATTTTAAAATTCTGTCAGATTATAATAATAATAATCAATCTGAAGTGATTTTGTTGCTCATGTTCACTTTTAGAAATCATATAAACAATTATATAACTTAATGTTGGTCGACATGTTGGCAGTGAACTTTAAAGTGTGTAACTCACTCTATCAGTTATATTTTAAATATAAGTTATATAAGTGTTTTATACTTTAAAATAATGAATAAAGGAATTTATCATGAAGAGTTTTAAAATCAAAGTTAGTTTTGATGATTTTATCAGAGAGCTTCCTGTTCTGTCGTAACAAAGTCGTAAAAGTTTCCTCACACGTGTGAACGGTGGGAGGAGGGTGAGGGATGGTGGGAGGAGGTTTAGGGGCCCTAAACTGAACTTAAAGGGTCTCACACCCTCCACAGCTCATTGGTTGTCAGTTCTCTTAAATACTCTTTCATCTGAAAGTGTCTTTATTAGTGACACTGATGTCAAAATTAGATTTTTAAAACAATTTTAAATTACTTCATATGTTTGTTTATTAATGAGTTCTGACAACAGTCATAAAAACTGCATCTCTCATGTTTACTTGTAAATAACATCCAAACAAATCCTGAATTAGAGCCTGATATAATATAACATGTCAGCTGTTATTAAGTTTTCACTCACAAACAGAATATATGAGATATTTTTCCTCCCTTTAACATCAGAATGATAAACTTTATTTCCAAAGAAAATTAAAAAAAAAATAACAATAATAATTTTATTATACATTTATTTTTTTATTTTGTTATACAAACAAACAAAACAAAAGATGAAAAACACAGCAGTAAAAATATGAATAACAATAAAGTGAACAATATTTTTGTTCTGCAGTTTCTTCATCAGTCTCTATAATATATAATAATATTAATATCAGTAACACAAAGTCAGCTGTAGTCCACAATAACAAACTGCATTTAAATGAATTAAATGTGAAGAAAAACATCTGATCAACATTAAAGACGTTAGTTTGTCAAGACAATAAAACTTAAACATCTGAATAATTAAAGAGACTTTTAACTTTTCTTTCAGTGAATAAAAAGCAATAATCAGACATGTTTCCAATCAGATATCAATAGAAGAGTATATAACGGATCAATAGAGGCTGAGAAGTTAACCAGTTATTGAACTGATCTAGGAACAGCTGTCAGCAGTAAAGAAAGAAACGCCAGCTGAGGCTAAATGTGGCTCCTGATCTGAGACCAGAATGCTGGGGGNNGGGGGGGGGGGGTCGCAGGAAGAGCCGAGTTCACGTTTATACACCGAGGTCATGACAAAGTCAATCAATAAACAATCATTATTTTTATTTCTTTGTATATTTTATTTCTATCCTTTCTGGTTATAATTTAGTTTTGTTCTTGTTGTAAACTTTGTTTATACACAGATATTTTACACATTAGTGTGATTTTAAAGGTGGTTAGTGGACAAACTTGTCTCATCACATTGATTCACATGGAGTTTTCTGTAAGTTAGTATTGAAGTTCTCAGCCTGGTTTAAGCCCGTTTTTCCTCTGTTGCTGTTGATGGTGATGATGGTTGTGATGATGATGATGATGATGATAATGATGATGATGATGATGATGATGACTGTAACATGCGGCCGTCCTCCAGCTGCCGCCGTCTGTCACCGTCCTCTGCCCCCCAACAAGCCCCGCCTCCTGACATTTATAGCTTCTGTCTGACTGTGAAACTCAAACTGTCTGCTGAGAGAACGGCAGCAGACACTCAGCACATTTTCATCCAACTGCTTTTAAATCTGTACATCAATAAAACTAAACACGTTTGCACTTAACCAGTTAGCTTTTCTTCTTTTTCTTCTGCAAAAAGACCAAAAATAAGACTGTAAAGATTACAAACTTCTGATTGTTTCATTTAAAACACATCTGAATGTTTCAGAAGATTAAAGTTAATCTGAGTTTTTAAATCTGGGGTCTGTCCCGCTCTGTCGTACTGGTAGTGATTCTCTAAACTATAATTATTTTTTTCAGTAGGGATGCAAATCTAGAACCGATTCCAAATCATCTAATCAATTGAAAATGTCCTCAGAGTTGATTGATTCTTGTATCAATTATGTTTTTCTGATCTTGCACATTGCAAACAATGACATCAAACTCAGTATACACTGCTGGAATCAATAATGGCTTTGGTGTTAATAAAAACGTATCAGTTTCCGTCCTTCCAACCATAGTGATGGAGGAAGCTGCAGTTGCTAGCAGTATGGAGGAGACGTAGTGCAGCGATCAATGCCTTTAACGGTTGAGTGAGTGATTCTCTAATACCCTGAAATACTTTATTGATCCCCGGGGGAAATTGGTTGCATTACAGTTGCTTAAGTTGCTGAACAAAGACATTATAACAATAGAAATAATAATCAGAGAGTTAAAATGTGTGCATTAAATTTCAATTTCTAACGATATATATAATATATATGTTCATAGAGCATGAACAACGATACGCTGAGTAATGTAGCTAATGTTAGCTATGTTGAGGGTTAGCATAGAGCTTCAGCTAACATGCAGGCGAGACGGTTTCCCAGAGCTAGCACAGTAGCTCCAGCTCACATCACAACATTTCGAAAGTGTGTATTTCATAGTTTGCTGGTTTTACAGAATCAGATTATTCTCCATCCTCTTTCTACTCCGTGCAGTCGCTATCAAACCATCAAGCTCCCAGTCTGACTAGCCGGACGATGGGAGAAAGTCCAGAGTGTTATTACGGATCCTACTGCTTTCTACTAGCGTTCGAATGCTGGATGTATTGATAACAAAAGCAATGGGATTCATAATAACACAACACCGGAGTTATCGGAGAATCAATAAGGTTGTAGAGACACAAGAGGCATCACTTTGGTTTATTGTCATTGGCCAACGGTTGCATTGTGAGTGTTTGTGTTCCTTGGATCTCAAATAGTTGTTGTTTGTTGAGATCAGGACTCACTGATTGTTGGTTGAACTGGTTTTGTATTGAGCACTGACCATATAGTGCACCGCGGTTGTGTTTCAAAGTCAAGTCGCGGTTGTGTTTCAAAGTCAGGTCAAGTCAACTTTATCTGACAATAAAGTTGACTTGACGACTTTCTTGTTGCCCTTTTTTGAAATATCTGGTTGTTAGTGATTGTTGAGGTATTGTTTGAATGGTTGGCTGCTAGTGTTTGTTCCACCTCCTGGTTCTGTTTCCTCAATAACGGATCGATGAATATCTGCTGCTGTACTTGGCAGGAACATCTGAATACTCGTCATTTTAACAGAGATAAAGCAATAAAATACAATACTGTGTAGGTATGACACCAAGATATCCTCACAGGCTGAAGGTGGGTCTTTTACCTCCAGTCTGTCTGTTAATACTGACCCATATGAGCTGACCTGACGCCCCAATCAGCAGCATTCACTACCAACCTGGTTCATACGACTTTTTCTGATCCATCACCTCTATGGTTTTTATTGTTAAATATAAAATATACCTGCTGTTGGTTGGTTATTGACCCGTCATCCTCCTCTGTGAGAGCTTTTTATGCACTATAACATCATCACACTGCTTCCACGTTTGCTTTGCAATGACTTCGTTCAACCACAAAAGGTTACATGTCAACAGAAAGTATGAATTAATAACTGGAGCTGTCGTTTCTTTGCTGACGACACTGTCTTATCTTGAAGTTTCATTACTCGTTAACGTCACTGGCTGATAATAAACTGCGACTAATAATGAATGTGCAGTTGTCTCCAGTTGAGCTCTGCTGGTGTTAGAGTCGGTCATTGGAGCTGTGACAGACGCATTTGGACGTCTATTTCTGGAGAGGAATTACAGCGTCTCCTTTCCTTCCCTAAAAGCTGCTCCTAAACTGAAGAACAGACATTTCACACCCAGTCTGTGGTGTTCAGCTAAATTCAGGCTGTTTGAGGCTGTTCGGTTTGATATCAGTAAAATGTCTTTAAGCTGCAGATCACTGACTGACATTTAAACTCTTTGTTTCTCTTCAGGGTGCCGACAATCATGTCAACACAAGCGCCAACGTTCATACAGCCGCTACAGAGCGTTGTGGCACTAGAGGGTAGTGCCGCAACGTTCGAGGCTCAAGTTAGTGGTAAGAAACAACTTTTTACTTTAAACATTTGTCCAAAACACAGAATGTAAGAACATTTTTGAGGTAAATCTTGCACTTTAGGTAAATCTAAAACTTTAGTTACTCTGCAGATTCATATTATTAAAACTAAATATAGTCAACAAATAAATGATGATGTATCATTATAGATAAACCATTGATTTTCAACCAACAGGGGTCATGGAGTGTGAATATTTTAACTTTTATCACACTTTTTGGAAGGAAAGAAAGAGGGTTGGCCATTTGGATTGACTGTAATTTATGTTGATCCCAGTTCAATGATTGATTGAGGATGACCTTATTATCTCAAAACCTAAAAATAAAAAAAATATTCAGAGGGGGATCCTTATGTCAGAATCCTCTCTAAGTGGGGGTCCTCCACATTAAGAGCTGAGTACGTAATTTACTGAATTCTAAGAATAATTAACTAAACAGTTTTATTATATTTTGTTCCTTGTGTCTGAGAGTTTAACATTAACTAATAATATTAAAGCAGTGGTTTCCATCACTTCATGTGTTCTGTGTGTTCTCTGACAATAAACCTGGTCTGGTTCTCCTCTACAGGTTCTCCAGTTCCTGAGGTGAGTTGGTTCCGTGATGGCCAGGTTCTTACTGCCGCCGCTTTGCCCGGCGTTCAGATCTCGTTCAGCGATGGCCGCGCTGTTCTGAGAATCCCCGCTGTGACCGCCGCACACAGCGGAAGATTTTCCGTCAGAGCCACCAATGGTGCAGGACAAGCCACGAGCACCGCTGAACTTCTTGTTACAGGTGAGCGCTCAAGTAGAAACTATACATAAAGTTAAGATCATGTAGGAGAGACTGAAGAGTATTTTACTATACTGTATTTTGCTCCGTTTTTTGGGGGAAATAGAGCTGCGCAGAAAATGTGAGGAATGTTTGAATTGTCGAGAAGTAGAGGCCAATGAAAGCAAATTTAATGACAATAAAATAAGGCCTAAGATGTAGCGTTGAGGAACACCAAAGGAGACAGTATTCACAGAAAGGTCCAACAGAAAGAAAACGTCTTAATTAATACAGTTTGTACTTTTTTATTTCATTTGTATTTAAAAAGTACACATTGATTAATAGCAGTATGTGAGTAACAGCTGGTATGTGAGTCTCAACATAATGAATATGCATCAATAATCGTCCCCTCCAGCGGAGACGGCGCCTCCCAGCTTCCTTCAGAGACTGCAGAGCTCCACGGTGAGACAGGGCAGCCAGGTGAGGCTGGATGTCAGAGTCACAGGTATCCCAACACCTGTGGTGAAGTTCTACCGAGAGGGAGCCGAGATCCAGAGCTCAGCTGACTTCAGGATCCTCCAGGAGGGAGACCTGCACAGTCTGCTGATCGCAGAGGCCTTCCCAGAGGATTCTGGGACATATTCTGTGACTGCAACAAACAGCAGTGGACGGGCCACCTCCACCGCTGAACTGCTGGTCCAGGGTGAGGACCTTTAAACCTTTAAACCTTTAAACCTTTACACAGACTTCTTTGATAATGATATTGAGGTTATTTAATCAATATCACTGAACTGAACTGATCCGTGTTCAGGTGAAGAAGCCGTTCCAGCAAAGAAAACCAAGACTGTGATTTCAACCTCTCAGATTTCACAGACCCGTCAGACCAGAGTAGAAAAGGTAACAAATAAACAAATATAATGTCATTAAAATCTCATTTAATGTGTTTATTGAATACAGTGGAAGTAAGTCTCATCCTAATCCAGTTAAATGTCATTATTTGTCATATTTTATTGGACTATCTCTTCTATCTGGTTTTATTACATCTATTTTTTTCTGGACTCTTTCTAATGTTGTCTCCTTTGATTTAATGTTCTCATCTAATTGAATCCCATCTCTTACTGTCTTAACTAATCAAAACTATCTCTAATTGAATGTCTCATATAATTTAATTTCATATAATCTATTTCATTTGATCTCAGTAATATAATCCAATGTAATCTCATCTCATGTCATTTCTTATCTTGTTTTTCATTAATTCTCAGTCAATCTCCTGTAATTGTTTTTTTTATTTAAATGTATGTAATTTTCTCTACTTTTACCCTCTCTGATGTTATTCTCCTCTGCTCTCCCCTCGTCGGTCCGTCCTCAGAGGATGGAGGCCAGTTTCCAGGCCACCGCCATGATGGGGATGCATGTGGAGAGCGCCGAGCTGACTCAGCAGCTGGCCCACAAGACTCCACCCAGAGTCCCTCCAAAGCCCATGTCCAAGTCCCCGACTCAGCCCTCGCTGGTCGCCAAGGTGACCGGAGGACGCCAACAGTCACCATCACCCGTCAGACATGTGAAGGCACCGACGCCAACTCCTGTCAGGTGGGTGGAGCCTGTAGTTGAGACCTGTAGTTAGTGTTTTTAGAGGTTATTGTTTTTGAGGTTGTAGAGCAGTGAGCGGGGTGACGTGTTCTCGGAGGTTGGCCCTCTGCAGGCCTGTAATGTGACCTCCTTCCCCCGTCTCCAGGCCTGCTTCTCCCACTTCAAGACTCTCAGTCTCCCCCATCAGGCCGGTCAAGTCTCCGATCACCACGCGCAAGCAGTTGGTCGCCGGCGGCGCCGACGTCCTACCCCCCTGGAAGCAGGGAGGCTACATGGCTGAGGCCAGTTACACCAGCATGACCAGCATGACCAGCACCGTCACGCAGGTGGGCCAGGAGCAGCGCTGGGAGCAGCAGGTCACCGGGGTCAAAGAGGTGAGGGAGCGCCCGCTTGGGGTGAGGGAGGAGGGTTCATACCACCACCTGGTGGTCAGATCAAACAGGGAGCAATCTGAGAGACAGAAAGACGGATGGTGTTTTGATTTCTAACATTCAACCAAAGAATCTGGAGCCAAATTGGGGCATTTGGCATCAAATTTTAATTACACAGTCTTTGGCCTAGTGGTTGGGACCTCCACTAGGGGTTGCCAAAGGTTGCGAGATGTTTTTGATATTAAAGGGTGTGAAGAAACTTTAAAAATATACACAGTACAGTGACATAGCTTCAGTCTCTGATCAACAGCCTCACCCTGCATTAGAAACCAACCACAGGAAATAATCTGCTCAAAATATCTGTCTGTGTTAAAAGCCTGTAAATGAATACTTACATTTGACCTGCAGTTCTTCTACTACCACCAACTTCTCTCTACAAATAGAGTTAATATATAATATATGTTTTGCAGATGTTTGGTGCTCCATTTATTGGAGATATTTAAGCTAAAGCAGAAGCAGAAACTGTCTTTAAACCTCCTCCTTCTCTTGTCGACAAATTGCTCCTCAGTGTTTGTCTTTGTATGTTATTTATTTTGCCTTTACTCAAATTTGTGAACATAAACTCATCTTTTTATCGTTTTTATGTTCAATATGTTTCTTTAACAACCCTCTAAAGGTCTTGTCTGTTTGTGAATCCTCTCGTTCTGCTCACTCAAACAAAAGGAAACCTCAATGTTTTGTCTCACTGTTTTAAATGTCACTAACCGACGTTCAGAGGAAGCATGACGATGTTGCCGTGCGACGGCACTCAGGTAGCTGGACGAGAAAATAACATTATTGACTGTTTGTTCTTCTTCTTTTTATTCTGAAGAGCATTAATATCATATTATTTACATAGCCTTTAAAGTAACATATATGAACATTTACTGCATTCCCAGCCAAGTTCTGTTGCATCTTCTTTTCACATTATGTATAAATAAAAAATAAAGACAAAAATAATTAATGTTTTAAAAAGTGAATATTAATTATTCTCATAATAATCAGTGGAAGTAAACTGAGTGATAACTGATAAGCCCCTTGACAAATATATCGAGAATACATAAAACAACACAAATACACTCTACAGTAAATATCCATGTTTATACTATATAATTGGTAGCAAGAGCAGGTAGTTTGAAGGTAAGTAAAATGGCTGACTTAAAGAAATGAAAGGAGGTAATAGATCTAAGTGAACGGGGCAGGTTGTTCCAATCAGACTTGTGAGATATGTGGAACTAAAAGGATACATTTAAAAATAAACTGCAACCAGTGAAAATGTCTTCTGGATTTTGTTGTTACCAATTTAGCGACTCGTACATTGAACACTAATGTGTGTGTTTCACATTTTTTTGTTAACTTCTAGTAAAGTTTGGGTTGAAGAAATCTCACTTTCATGTCCCTCAGAAAACTCCATGCTATAATCCTACAGTTCCTCCATCCTTCATCCAATACGAATGTTTGTGATCGTCACTTTTGTGTTACTTTCACTTCTTGGTTTCTTTCTTAAAAAGAAGTCTCTTAAAAATGTTTTGGCTCATAAAAGCAGTTTAAACTCTTTTGATTTGGTCATTAGCCTCAAACTGTCAAAATGAAGTCAGAATCATCTGGATTTACCCAGAATGCCGAGGGATGGGATGAGGATACGAGCCACGAGGAAATGACACGTGACGATAACGTCAATCATTCGGACGTGGACGGTGAAGAGGAGGGTGTTTGTGAAACTTTAGATGATCGAAACCCGACGTCCTCAGTGGGAGAACCAGAGTCCACTTCAGTAAAGGAGATGAGCTTCAGTTCGTCGTATGTCTGTGAAGATTTGTCCTCTGTCTTCAATCACAAAGACTCGTCATCTGTTTCAAACCTCGACCTCCATCCAACTGAAGAAACTAGTTTGTCCAGTTTATCCGATGAAGAGTGGTGTTACTGTGATCTTAACCAAGATGTCCGCCCGTCCGTCCAGAAACTGGAGGAGCAGGTAGTTCTTCGTCCGTCACGAGTGGATACGTCACAGTTGCTCCGTCATCTTTTTTGAGCACTTTCACTGCTTCTTTTTTGAGTTTTGCTGTCACAAGGTTGTGGTTTCCACTTCACTTTTCTTCACTTTTTCGTTTTTGCTCTTATCAATTTCTTGATGTTGTCTTTTCCTACACGTCAAACAGATGAGCATGTGCTGTTCATCAGATGATCTTAAATGTTTACTTGAGGACATTTACAGGCACACTAGTATCCTGTCCACCCAGTTTCCACACCTGAATTAAACAATTTCATTAACTTTACACATCAACTATCTGGATATCTTACATTACAAATTACATTTACATGTGCAAACATGTAAACCAGATTCTCTGAAATTGTGACAGCGATACTGGTGTACGTGTACATATACTCATTGTTTTGGTGTCTGTTACAGAGACAGGAAGGTGTTGAGGGACAAAATGTTCATAAATTGATTCATCACATTACTAATTCACTTAAATTACACATTTTTGTGCCAAATGTATTAATTCTGTTCCCTCATTTAGTAATCAATGGCATTACAGGATTACATGGTTAGCCTAGCTTAGCATAAAGACTGGAAGCAGGGGGAAACAGCCAGCCAGGCTCTGTCAGAAGTTTATAACTACACCTACCAGCACCTCTAAAGTAGTGTTCTCACCTAACAAAATGTAAATTTTCACCTCTAGTTATTGTGTGAATAAATATTGACCCTTTAGTCTGTCTCACTGTGGCGGTATGAGCTTAAATAATCAGATGTTTCTGTTATTTAATGTCAATAAACAGATCAAATGGATGCTGAAATAATTACATCATGAAATACGTAAAAATAAATACGTCCGCAAGAGTCAAAGTCAAAGTGAAAGTCAGCTTTAATGTCAATTCTTCACATGCACCAGACATACAAGGAATCGAGAGGACGTTTCTCATTCACCCACGGTGAAACAGATAAAGTGCACAGACATTTCCTAATACTAAAATTTAAACATTCAATTTCACAACAGACAATAAAATATAAAATAT